AGATCTATTTAGCAGATATGCATAGAGGTTTCTACGTACTTCACATACAGTGATATTGATGGTAGCACGTTGTGATGTGGCTGAGCGATATGCAACTCTGTCATCAGGGTACTTGAAGCACATTCTGAGCGTCTGAATACCACGGCTCTCCCTATCGTGCTTATTAGCGGAAGACCATTATACTCATGTGATATGTAGCCTACCATTCCTAGTGTATTATATGTCAATTCCGCCCTAGCCCGATGCAATGGTATGATTCCATAGGTCTGCCCTCATTTTGCCCCCAAAAACAGGCTCTGCGCACTTCCTATCACTATACCTCCCCAAGCAATCATGCTGATACTACCACCCTACATATCTACGACCTTCAGCTTTCTATCTACCCATCTCCCAATTCTTGTGCCACCCTGTGGCCTCGGTAACGCAGGAGAGCCGCAATTCTGTCGCCTCCTTCGGGCGCTTATCGCACGTGGTGCGCTATTTTATGCGGTCACTGTAGCATAGACGACAATACAATATGTTGGCAAGAGCTCAAAGCTCAGTCACTTTGCCGGAGTGGTTAACGGGATCGCCTGCTATTCGTAGCTGCTAGCGGTTGGGCTTTGCCCGCGAGTGTTCGAATCGCTCAGGTGACGCTTTTTGCCTGTCCAAACAGTTCAAGCGCTCAGGGTAGCTCGGATGTCGAGATAGCTCGGCGACGAGGCGCCGTCCCGTGCGCGTCGGTCTCCCTTCCGGTGCTCTCACCCACCCGACCACCATGTCTGAACATCTAAACAGCGAGGAGGAGGACCTCCTTCAGGTATTGCTTAATATCTATCTTGGCGGGGACATACCACTGAAGTTGTAGAGACATACAGTCCGCACTTTCTACCGCCTTCTCTCCTGCCCCATTGCCCCGCCAGTCTGTTGGCCCCGACCCGGCTCCAGAGACTGTCTCACAGCCGGCTAACATCTCTGCACCCGCAGTCCAAGCGCAGGCAGACATCACCGTTGAGCCCGAGTCAGCCGATGACGTTTGGAAGGATGAATACGAGGCGCATGTCGCGGAATGGCGCAGGCGGTCGGCAGAGCAGCGCCAGAAGGCCGAGCAAACGCGCGCAGAGTGGGAGGCCATCCGCGAGAAGGAGCGCAAGGAGGGCAGGCTGCGACAGAGCGACCTGAGCCTGTCCACGCATAGCACCAGCGGGTGGGAGAAGCTCACGGCGGGCAGCGCCACGGCTTCGGTTGCTGGTCGCTCGGACTCGCCCAGCCCGGCAGACGTGAGGGATCTGGTGAGCGGCGAGGGCCAGGGCCGGCATTCAAAAGAGTATATTGAGGTGCGTCATAGTCGTCAGCATGAAACGTGCCGGGTGTTGATGCACGCTCGCGGTGCGCGTTCTCTGCCCCAATAGTCCGCGTTGCCAGGCGAAGCCGGTACGTCCACGTCGACCCCGCCAGAGCACCAACACGAGCACGACCGGTCAGCTTCGCATCCCGTGTCGGAGACGGAGTCGAAGCAGGACAAGTGGGACTCCATGACCTCCTCCATAAACTCCTCCTTCCCGTCCATGTCCTTCCCGTCCGACCCGCACTCACCCATCTCGTCTATACCGCGCAACCTCCCGCCAGCGAACGCGCTCGGTCATCACCACGCGTCCGCGCACGCACACGCCCACGAGCATGGACACGGACACCACCACCCTCATCACCACGAGGAGACGCGAACGGCGACGCTGTCGGTGTTCGACTCGTCGCTGAGCCCGAAGACGCGCGCGCTCGCGCTGCTGTCGAGCGTCGCGATCAACGTGCTGCTCCCATTCGTCAACGGAGTTATGCTGGGCTTTGGCGAGCTCTTTGCGAAGAACGTCGTCATTCAATGGCTGGGCTGGAGGGTGCCCGGGACGGCCAGCGCAGCAAGCTCGAGGGGGTCGGGGAGGGTCGCGCTGGGCAGGCGATAGAAGTTCATCTATAGAGGAACGACGTTGGTTACACGCTAACGCTACATGCTACTAATGTTCACATGATGGTTCCTCATGCGCCGTTCGTCTAATATGACTTCACGCAGCCCGTAAGGGCACTGTCTAAAAAGTTTGGTCTCCGAGATGTCAAGTGAAGATCCGTATGCAACAGGACTGGGTATCGTCCGATGATAGTATACATTCAAAACGGCGTTACATCATCCCATTCAATACGCCCTGTACGACCTCTTCTTGCCTCGCGAGCCAGAGACCAAACGCAGGAGTCCGCAACCATCGCTCATAGAATTCTCGCTGCTTGGAGCTGCTCTTGAATGGCAATGGTGAGCCGTGGGCCTTCAACGACGCGAAGAACGCAGCGTCTTGGAACGCCTTGAGTCTTGCAGGAACGGAGAGATTCGAGCGCGATTCGCTCGGGGTGGGGATGAGCGTTTGGAGATAACGCTGGAGGGGGACGAGCAATGCGTTCGTGCGGGATGTGAGGTGCTGGCGGAGCGCCTCAGACGCTTCCCGCTCTGGAGTAATATGGAACAGAAATGAGTTGGCTCTCTGTAATTGACCGACGAAGACAAGACGCACTGGCTTGTTCCGAACCTCGACAAGCGGTCTCCAGCTGCTTAAGCAAAGTGCGATCTCGGGATGTATAGCGCCTGTGCGTTGACCTCCATCCAGGCGGAGGACCGACCACAAGAGGACCATGCGAGCCATTCTTCTTCTCTTGTGTACTGCGAGGAGAAGCAAAGTTATTGGCTCGATCTATTAGTTAGCGCGGAGCGCATATAGGCTCACGTGGGCTGTCTACCAAGACTTAGCACGTTTGGCCAATGTCTACACGCCTTGTCAAAGAACGGGTTGGTAACGCCAACCAGAAGGCCGGCTTGTGGTGGTCGTGGGTTGACTAAAGCTGTGTGGTCGGCGTCGTGTATAGTGAAAAAGGGTCGAAAGTCTCCAGAGAGGGGTATCTGCGTGGCCCAAAGTGTAACTTAACTTCCCATCGAAGTAGAACCCAAGTAAAGCTGGACTTACCGGGCGCAGAAGATCCCGGAGCCACCAGACTGCCCTGCTACTCATGGAGGGCGAAGGCCCAAAAACTAGGATAGGTTCGCTTAGGACAACGCATTCCCATATTGACCACAGGTTGGAGACAACCGCCTCGAAGAGACCAATTATGGGAGGATCCGGAGGGCATATCGAGGCCAATATCTGCAGCAATCATTCATGTGAGACCCTAATGATATGTAAGGCACTCCACTCACTTGAATATCAGTCTCTCTGGTGCGACCGGGCGCCAGGGCAGACATAGCCTGCTGTGTCTCAATAGCCTGCGGCAGTTCCACATGGAGTACGGCCCCAAGGAATCCAAATTCAAGAGCAGTCCCCGGTATCGGGTCTGGCCTTCTTTTCCATCTGCATCAGGTTTACCGTGTAAAAGGGTACAGTAAGGCGGATGTTCACACACCAATTAGCGATATTATGACACGCCGCTTCCAGCATGGGCCCGCCATGGCTCATGAAAGACGGCGCAAGTTTACAGACTAGGGTATCAAACAACGAGGGGTATGCAAGATGTGACAAAATCACTATTGACGTCTGTATGCCGGTTGAGCTAGGGCTAAGTGACCGATGCGCTGGGCTGACCTGCTGATATCCACGCTTGGACAAAGCATCTTTCGTCCGCGTGAAGCATGAGAAACCGTATATGAAGCCATCCACTGTCGTCGGCCGGACAGCATCGACGTCCCAGTTCTCTCCTTCCACAAGCCCCCGCGATCGAATTCGGAAAGAGTGCGTCTGTGAACCCTCTTCGAACTGCGAAGAATCCGGGAATGACGAGAAGGCACTATCGGGGAGGAAAGCTCAGTTGATAATATGTCGCAGAAGAATCAGCCTACTAACATATTCTGGGCTTCTGCATGCGTCAACCGCAGTGGCGGGTATATGCTCGTAATCTTGGGGCCTACTTCGAGGTCGAAGTTCACTGCAGTTCCGCATGATTAACCTTCAGTCCATACACCCAGCATTCATGAGGAGGACACAAACCCGTTATCAGGCTCATGATCCATCGTCTCAGCTTTGCAATCTTCTCTGTGCCCATAGAGAGCCCGTCCAAGCTGAGCTGCGTCCTATGCGCTGCTCTTGGTATCCTTGGCAGGGTCTTCGACCGCGACATCCGTCTGCGAGCCAATGGGTTTGGGCTACTGTCCGTGTCCGGTAGCGGCCTGTTGGCGAGTGTCGGCGAAGACGACGACTTGAGCTGCCCGGCGATCATACCCAAGCCAGAAGAGATCCCAAGTCCTATTGGAGCTTGCGTTACGGCACCGCTCGAACTGCGCGCAAGTGGCCGCGCAGGGAAGTTGGGCGTCGGCGACTGGGGTATCGAGAGGTCCGTGAGGCCGATGTCGGCCTCGGCTAGCTCGTTCTCCATCGTCATCACTGGGGGTAGGGCGTAGACGGTCATGAAGCAGTCACCAGCAACAGCAGTATAGTATACGTGGTGCGAGGACAACCAAGCTGGAACAAGGCGGAAGTGGGGTACAAGTATGAGAACGCCAATGGACAGCCTGACAGGTGCCCCGCACACGTGTGGCACGCGACGTTCTATGCGTTCCTCCGTCTCCACATCTTTGCTTCTTGCCACCATCACCCGCTTGCCGAAAAGCCTCGCTACCTTCGTCCTCGACGCGTACGGGCGGCCTACAGAAACAGCAGATCACCGACCTTTCCGTAACCGTTTGCGTGCAGAATGCCGGGAGCGAACTACATGGGAGGGAAGAGGTACGCCTGTCCCTCGCCTCGCGAACCTGCCTGGACGAGCCGCATCGCCCATCTCATGCACCCTATCCTATGTTGTATACTCGCCGCTCCTCCACCGATGGTGCACATATGCAAACAGGAACGCGGCTCGCGCGCGAGTCAGGGACGCAGAGGGGAAGGTGCAGCGATCGCACTTTGGCAAGAAACGCTTCGAGGTCCTCCGGGCAGGCTTAAGCAAAAGCGGAGCCCCGAAGACAAGCTTGGCGCGAGAGCTTCGACCGGGGCCGCCAGAAATATCACTCGCGCATGCAAGGCGGACGCAGGGTGGGTCGGCGGAGGGGCGCGGGTATGCGCAGGAAGGGAACTGGTCGGGGTTGCGGTCACCGCTAACAAGCCCAGAATTCCGTCGTCGATCGTCTCCGGCAAAGTCGGCTTCCGGCCGCTCGAGGATATTGGCTGTCCTCGATGCGGATGATCGTACGTACCTCTCCATTCTATTGTTGTGCCGAGCCATAGATTGCTCTTCAGCTGCTATGCGGCGCGCTCAAGTTCAAAAGATACTCGAGATGCCGGACTTACTGGGGCTTTCCCGAACCACGAAGACGCGGACACCGCCGTGCAGTAGTCCACAGGACGAACCTCGCACACCCCCCAGACGCGTTCGTGAGCAGGATGCTCATGACAAGGTCAGCTCACTTTTCCTCATGAAATCGTTTGCCAGGGTGAGAATGCGTGTTTGGTCCCTAGGTTTCATCACAGATGCCCGCAATGCACCGTTCCTCCCCACCCACCTTCGCATCGTCTCCTCGCATGAAACAGGGCGGCTTTCGACAGTCTCTTCGCTCGCCAACTGGATCGTTGATATGCATAGCTGTATCCTCATCAGAACATTCGTCGAAGCCATTCAAAGGTGTTGATTCTGTCTTTGTCCCGATGTGCCTCGATAGCACTCCCCCACCGGTTGCTGATGACTCTGGCTACGCTGAGTACTGGTCCGGCGTTGAGCCTGAATATGAACCCGCTCGTGTTCCGTTCTACGCTCTGTTAGCGGACAGGTGCCTGCCTACCTCCCCGTCTGGGGACTCGTCATCCCCGTCCATGGTACCGCTCAGGGCTCGCTCTAGCAGTCTCATGAGCCTTCCTATTTTCGCCACGCTATCTCGTACTTCGTCGCCACATGGAATCACTCGCTCGTTCTTCATGTCTAGTCCCTCACATCTTGACCTGCCTGTTCCCCTAGCTGCGGCCCAGTTCATCTCTGACATGCCCAGCCCTGACCACGTTCCGGAGCCCCTAGATCCATCACCTTTACCTCCATCGGACATTTCTGGCTATTCCTGGTCTAGAATCGCAACTCGCCCACAGAACTCTTACGATATCTCGCAGGCCAGCTTCTCCTTGTCTTCTAACCCTACAGAACCTGGCGATACAGAAGACCGTACGTTTCCCGACGAAGGCACACCCGACGTGCGCGAGACTTCTTGTGGGGGCTCTATCTATTCGTTTCTGGGTGATTCTCAGGACTACATGTCTCAAGACACACCTCGATCTCCTAATGACGAAGACCGGTGGGATACAATCTGCCTCGAAGATGTCTTAGGCAATCTATTCGAAGACGCTGACCCTTGGAATGAACTCGGTCGAGTTCTTGGCCTGTCTCTCTCCCCAGATGAGCCGACTCCCGATATTGAAGATACACTGGCTATGTTGGGCGCATGCGGTCGAAGAGGTGTTGGTTTCACGGTGTCCGAACGTCTCCCCATTCCGTGGGACCTACCAACTTCGCAAACACTCGTAGGGTCGTGCGACGACGATTTCACTAATGGTCGATCTAGCATCATCTCTAGCACCGTCATCTCAAGTCCTTCAGGTCCTGAATATTCTGCAAACTACCGTTCCTGCGGACTCAGTGAACGATCTCCGCTGTTGTATCCTGGCGCCGACCCGGGGATAGAGGAAACGGAGATAGTGTCTGCAATTTCGGCCGAGGTCAACGAGGAGTGCGGAAGTTGTTCACCTCCGCGACGGTCACCAGCGGCTTCAAGAGGAGACTCGGAACGCCAGTTCTTAGTGAAGTCCACGGAAGATCAGTATGAATGCGTTCCAAACCTTAAAGAGGTATGTGACATACTTATTACGTTGTTCACCACTTTAGCTACATTTAGCAGAATGCAACTTGCTGCAAGCCTTCAGAGGCCTGCGGAAATCTTGATCACGTCACAGAACATACCGGTGCAAATTCGGGAAGCCATGGTAAACAAGAGTTGGATGGGGGCGGAGGCGGAAATGAACCAGAACCTATTATCGATGGCCCCTCACTATTCTACGATGAGGATTGTGTGTGTTCAGAAGAAGAGTGATACTACATACCTGGGTTCCGTGGACAGTATAATTGCATTTGGGTTTGAAGCTCTTAGAACGAGACCGACTCAGACGAATGTCCGGCATGGGATTGGCTGGGCGCCTGAGCGCCCTATCCCGGGCCGGTACGCCGGGGAAAGGAGACCGGTCACGGGAGAGACGCGGTCACAGCCTCGGGTCTGCGGGCGTCTGTCTGGGACCTGATCCGGCGATCAGAAAAGCGGAAACACATGCACTGAACCTGCCCCGCGCCGACAAAAGCCCTCGTCCCCTGCGTTATCCCTTTCCTCTCATTCGTCCCCTTTTCCCCGCACTTTCGTCCGGTGCTGTAGCTGCCTGTTCTGTTTCCTGTATAGCCTGGTCGCCGGCCAAGATGTCGAAGGAGCTCAAGACGTTCTCTCGCGAGGATGTCGCGAAGGTACGTGCCATGGTCCAGCTGTAGCCCAACGTGTTTCTCGCTAAGCATTCGTCACTCTCGAAATAGCATAATAAGCCCGATGACCTCGTGAGTGCACTTAACTCAGAAAGATTCACGGACATCGTACTCACTGTACCTCGCAGTGGATCATCGTCGACGCGAAGGTCTACGATGTGACCAAGTTCCAAGGTCTCCATCCTGGTGGTATCTCCGTCTTCCAAGAGGCAGACATCGGTGCGTCCTCCAAATGCAAGCAGGTGTACCGTCGCTGACCGCGTGCTCGAGCAGCTGGACAGGATGCAACGGAGGCATTCTACGGCCTGCACCGTCACGAGGTCCTGGAACGTCCCCAGTACAAGCGTCTGCAGATTGGCGTCATCCAAGGCGAGAAGAGCGTCATTTACAGCCAGATACCTGGCGAGCTCAGCAAGATCCCCTACGCCGAGCCCCTTGGCCTTTTGAAGGAGTACCACAGCCCGTACTATACCGAGGTCGGTCTCGGCAAGTGCTGAGAAGACGCTGGAGACGCTGACGCCGGAGATCTAGAGTCACAGGAAGTTCTTGCACGCTATCCGCAAGTTCAATGATGAGGTCATCACCCCTGATGCGCTTGTGAGTAGCTTTATTGTCAAACATTGAGTGGTGTTTTCTGATATTAGTGACAGGCTAGAGAAGAGGATGGAAAGCGGCCCAGTAGCAGTGTTATCAACCAGATGGCGTAAGTCCAAGTTCGTCGGCGTGTGACCCCGCCTCACTGACGTTGTTACAGTGAAAATGGTATCCTTGCTATGAATATGGGTCCTGGCAAGCACTTGGAGGGCCGTACACTGCTTGGTGGTCTCATCAAGCCCGGGGAAGTACGCAACCTCCTTTCTTGTGTACATGCAGATCTCCGCGCTAACACTTGCGCTACGACAGTTCGATCGCTTCCACGAGCTCATACTTATGCAGGAGCTCGTCCGGCATGGAATGCGTGGTTACCGTGATGGCCAGAACTCCGGTGCCACTATCGGCCTCCCTCCTGTCATTCACTTCGGGCGTCCGGAACTCCGCGACCGCATTGTTGACGAGGTCCTCTCTGGTCGGAAGTTCATCTCGCTCGCCATCACAGAGGCCTTTGCTGGTTCCGACGTAGCCGGCCTCAAGACGACAGCGAAGAAGACTCCCGATGGCAAGCACTGGATCATCAACGGTACGAAGAAGTGGATTACGAACGGTACCTTCTCCGACTACTTCACCGTCGGCTGCAAAACCGACAAGGGCCTCACTGTCATCCTTGTCGAGCGCCAGGACGGCGTCGAGACCAAGGCCATCAAGACCTCTTACTCGTCCACGGCCGGCACAGCGTACATCACGTTCGAGAACATCAAGGTGCCTGTGGAGAATACACTCGGGCCGGAAGGCGGAGGCATCTTCGTCATCCTCTCGAACTTCAACCACGAGCGCTGGGCGATGTGCTGCGGGGCCTCGCGGAACATGCGGCTCATCGTCGAGGAATGCCTCAAGTGGGTGAACCAGCGCAAGGCGTTCGGGAAGCCGTTGCACGCGCAGCCGGTCATCCGCGCCAAACTCGCGAACATGATTGCGAAGAGCGAGGCCGCGCAACACTGGCTCGAGAGCATCACGTTCCAGATGCAGCACATGGACTACAAGCAGCAGGCGCAGCTGCTCGCGGGGTGAGTGCCGGGCGCTTTCTTTGGGGGGCCTGAAGGAAGACGATTGCTGACGCCGACACGGACGCGTTACGACCCGAACAGACCGATCGCACTCCTGAAGATGTACATCACGCGCTCTTCGCAGGAAGTCGCCCGGGACGCCGTGCAGGTGTTTGGCGGTCGTGGTATTACGAAGACGGGTATGGGCAAGCTCATCGAGCACGTACGTCTCTTGCGCTTCTATCACCGTTATGTAAGCGCTCATGTTCCACGATTGCTGTATAGTACCACAGAACCGTGCCGTTCGACGCGGTACTTGGTGGAGGTAAGCGATCTATTTCCTCCTTCAGTTCATCGATGTGGACGACTGACGCTGAGAATGCGCTTGTCATGAACAGCGGAAGACGTCTTGGGCGACTTGGGTGTACGTCAGGCGATCAAGGCATTGCCGAAGAACGCCAAGCTATAATTACAGGATTGTCGGCTTTGACGCGGTGGATTCCCTTGCTTGCACGTTACTGTATACCAGTGTATTCTACTACGACTTAGCATTATTGGGCAGTCTCGACAATTACACCATATCCGCACGACGACGTAGCTTCCCCGTATATTCCGGCCTCCGACATGCCGGAATCTCGAGGTTCCTGAGCGTCGCTTTAGAGTTGGACGCTGTACAGATCACGTCGGATCTCAAAGTCGCCGAACGGAGGCAATAATAGGAGGCACAGGACCTCCCGTAGCCAGGTCACCGACTCCAGGCTTCCGTAGGCGCTTTCCGTGGAAAGAGTCGCGCACATAGCGGAACAGCTGTCGGTGCTGACTCAGCAGAGGCGCCAAAGAAGCCCAAACAACGGCACGCCACCCGCGCCTATGCGCGTCGTTTTGTCTGCCGAGCCTCCAACCAGTTCCTAAACCCGTCCTTCTTCTCCTTCCACCACCACCTCCCCAACATCCGACAACCTCTCCTCGGCCTCCCCTCGGACTTCTCGCGACCTCCTGTACGCACCGCCACCTTCGGCTTCACTGGAGACACGCGTGTCTCCACACTCTACGCAGTGAATCTTGATTGAAGGGGGTCAGTAGAGGCTAAAGCGTACTGTCTTGCACAGCACACCTGTAACAATACTTGTAAGAAGCCTGTCATCCTCTGCTGGGTGCATTCGGTTCGTTCCTTGTACCGTGTATCTGACCAGTTTCCCGCATCCTGTCGCATTCTGCTGCCTGTCATCCGTCGGTACTCACACCCACACCCGCCTGTCATTGTACACCACACTGCACCAGAACGAAGACATTTGTTCCGCCCCATCCTGCATTACGTTTTCGGCTGCCTTCCGCGTCAGTCATCGCAAACGCGACTATAACAGCGCCCATACAAGCATTCTTTGAGTCAGAATCAGGCACGCAACAATGCCTCCTGCAGATGACGATTTCGACATTTACGGCGAGGACGACGGATTCAACAACGTGAAAGTCGATGACGAGGTAAGTCCCACATCCTTCGTTCGGAGGAGGCGGTTGTCAGATGTATGGGGCTGAGGCATTTGACTGACCGTCTTCTTGTCGCCGGTCAGAACCAAGAAGATTTCCAGATTGAGTCCGAAGAAAAGCCTTCTTCTGAGGCGGCCACGCACTCGCCCGTCGTCGGCGAGAAGCGGCTACGGGAAGAAGACGAGCCGGAGCATCGACGCGACGGGCCGAACGACGGCGGCGCGCCAGGCTACAAATCCGAATCTTCGCCTGCCCCCGGACAGAACGGCAACAATGCACATAGTGGCCAGACGAACAGCAGCAACGCCAACGCTGCCGGATCCGGGGTGGGTGGCGCTGGTTCGGGGCAGCACGACGCGCTGTACATTGGGGATCTGCAATGGGTCTGTATTCTTGTGTTCTTTTCTAGTCATGTATGCCGTATCTCTGAGACGATCTTTATATGTGACGCACATCTCCATGTGCCGTTGTGTTGCCTCTCTTTTCTTTTCACAGTGGACGACTGATGAGGATCTGCGGCAAGTCGCGCACAGCCTTGGGGTCAACATTGACCACAAGGACATCACCTTCTCGGAGCATAAGGTGAACGGGAAGAGCAAAGGGTAAGTTTGCTGAGTCGTTGAAGTGATTATATGCGTAATTGCATGAGCTTCTGATCATCCTTTGTCTAGTGTCGCATATGTCGAGTGCCACAACCCGGAAAATGCCACCATCCTCAAGAACTGGTTTGATAATAAGTAGGATCTTCAAGTTGACTTGGTCAGCCTGAAAGCCTACTGACGGCATTCTGTGCCACAGCGACTTCCAAAACCGACGAGCTTCGGCAAACTACACAACTTCAGTAAACGGCAACCCGTTCCGGACGCTCCCCAAAGGTACGTCAATCCCCTTTCGTACCCTACGCATCTCGCCTGCCATCCCCCTCATCAAACGCATTCAAACCAATGGTGACATGAAACGTCGGCGCACAGAACCCCCTCCGCGCGAACAGCGGCAGCCATACAACAACGTGCAAGGCGGGAACATGGGCCGCGGCGGTGGAAACTTCCGCGGAGGCATGGCCGGCAACGCAGGTGGCATAAACAACATGATGAACCAGCCCATCCGCGGCGGAATGGTAGGCGGCGGCATGCGCGGAGGAATGCCCAACATGATGAATAACTTCGGCATGGGTGGCTTCGGCATGGGCGGATTCGTCGGGAATGCCATGGCTGGCGGTGCCGGCTTTGGTGGGGGACGGGGTGGGATGATCCCACAAGGCCCTCGAGGCGGCGGGTTGATGGGTGGGGGAGGAAACTTCGGCGGGGGACGGGGAGGAGGCATGATGGGCGGAATGGGTACGGCAGCTTGAGTTTCGTTCTCTTGTTACGGACGTGGATTGTTGACTCGCGCTTTCTCTCCGCTCTCTGCGACTGTGTTTTCTTGTAGGGATGGGCGGCATGATGCCTATGGCTGGTCGTGGCGGCTTTGCTGGCGTCCAGGGCCACTTCAACCCCGCATTCATGCAGAGCGGGGGTGGCGGCGGCGGCGGCGGCGGCCAATTTGGGCAAGACGGCCCGCGGAAGAGGTTCAAGATGGAGGAGAGCGGGTGAACGCACGTGGCACGGGTATCTTTCTCTGTCGGTGTCAATCTCGTTGCTCGCTTCCTTCGCTCTGAACGGTACGCATACGTGAGCCATTCATATCGTACAACCCCTCGAGCTCCCCTCGTCTATATACCTTCACTTAATCGGTCATACACCATCGCTCACGTATCACTAGTATGATGGACAAAGCCCAAACTCGCCGCCGTCCGTCGTCCGACCTTCCATCACCCATCGTGTCTTCTTGCACTTCGTCTGTTCCCCATGGCGATTCGTCACAATGTCCTGCTATCGCGTTGTCATATTTCATGTAGTATACGTCTCCTATCGGATCTCTCGTCAACGCGTCTCGCATTACATCCTCGATCGGGAAATCGGCGATGCCGGATACGGAATAGTGGATGAGCACGAGATGTTGTCACGAGGATCATCGCAGGTATCTAGCATGCGTATGAATTGATATGAATCGAGACTTGCAATCGAATTGCACAACAGGGCATAGAAAGGCCGATATCTAGGTAGAGTTCACCACGACTTGTCAGTCGTGTGATCAATGTGGATAAAGCCACGACGATCCCGCACCCGAGGCGAACGTCACGGTGGTCTGCTAAAGGTTGTTCGCAAGCCCCCAAATAACCTAAGACCAATAGACGCTTCTTGTCAATAGCTCAATCACTTCTTTCAATTTATCCTCGAGGAGGTGTCCCTGCAGAGGGCGCTGAGTACAAAGGACCGTTTTGAGCCGCAAGTACCCAAGTGCCACGACGGCCAATTGCCGTTTCAGTGAGTCAAGGTGGCAGTGCGCAAACAGAGCCAAACAGTCCTCCTGCAGTCCAAGGAAGGCGCTGGTCCAACTCTCAGCCAGACATCCATCCATCTATCTATCTTGCTTCTTTCCTCCACCAGGCTGTGTTCCTTGTCCTAGACTTTTTTCCTCAATCTCCTGCATTCTGCCCTCTCTGCGAGCCCACAACCACCCTCTTACCGCGTCTGACTAGGAAACCACCCGCCATGACCAGCTGGCAGGCGCTCATGGCCCTTAGTGCCACGCACACCCAGCAGACAAAGGAGGCTGTCGAATCCCAGCTCGCCGAACGACAACGACGGGAGGCCCAGAAACGCAAGGAGATTGAGGAGAAGGAGAAGCGGGAGCGGGAGCTCGAGGCCAAGCTCCGTATCAAACGCCTCGAGGAGCAGAAGAGGGAGCAGGAGCGTGCCGAACGCCTGGAACGGGAACGGCAGGCGAAGGAGCGGGAGATGCAGCGGAGACTAGAGCAGGAGCGCGACGCCTTGCTCTATGGGCCAAAGAAGGCGAAGGACAAGCACGGCTACCCCGTCTCGGGGGCGGGCAGGCGCAGACCTTCGGACGACGACGAACCCGGCCCTTCCAACGTTCTCACGCGCGAGGAGAAGCGACGGCGGGCACTGGAGAGGGAGCTGGGTCTCAGTCGGAGCTCGGCAAAACGGACGTCGGGTGGGATTGCGACCAGGAAGCCCGGCAGGCGACTGCCTGGGGGTGCGGTGGATAGCGTTGGGACGATTTCCTCCTCCTCGTCGCAGACTTCCCCAGGCAAGGCGCAGTCGACGAAGGAGCGTCTCAAGTCCGAGCCGGCGATGCTAATCAAGCTGAACCAAAACAAACGCGATACGAGGACTATCGACGAGATCATGACCGACCGCGCAAAGATGCGGCAGGGCAAGGTTCTCGATGGCGAGTCCGCAAAGGAGTTCAACGATTGGTTCGGCAAGGCGAAGAAAGACCCTCCGAAGAAGGCGTCCGTCCCTGCCACATCTTCTTCCACGTCTCGAGCTAACACGCCTGCTGTCGCTGCGAGTGGTTCTGCATCGCCTCGCCCTCTTTCCTCTGCACCTGTCAAGCCCATCCCCAAGTCCACCCCTGCTTCCAAGTCCAGTGCTGCGGCGTTTGCGAAGGTCGGCAGCGCGACAAAGCCTCCCGTGTCCAAAGCAGCGAGCGCCAAGCCTGCTGCAGGCGTTTCTCGCATGCCGCCTCCTTCCCACAAGACGCCTTTGTCAGCTCCGGCCGCCCGACCCACCCCGAAGAAACGTCGGTCGCCGTCGTCCAGCGTCTCACCGCCCCCTGCTAAGCGGCGCCCCGCCCCTGGTGGTTCCCGCCGCGGCGATGAGGATGATGTCGATATCAGCAGTCAGATCTGGAAGATCTTCGGAAAGGACCGCTCTTCTTACATCGAGCGTGACGTCTTCAGCGACGACGAGGACATGGAGGCGGATGCGTTTGATGTCGAGCGGGAGGAGGCACGAAGGTTTGTCCTGCATGCCATCTATTCCGCATCACTGTGCGCTGACGCGCTGGAAACCTTCGTAGCGCTCGGATTGCGAAGAAGGAAGACGAGCTCGCAATGGAACAGGAGAGGCGTCACGAGGAAGAGAAGAGGAGGAAGAGGAAGGAGAAGGAGAAGCGCGGCAACTACTGAACGCCTCTCCGCGATTATTACTAGTGGGTGTAATTCGAACCCTGCTTCTGGTGCTGATAGGACTCCCCATCCTGACTCGAAAGCCGTACTACACTACCTACCACGCTATAACGTTGTTCCCCTTGACCATTGAATCGTCATGTCTCGTCAATTTCATTATTCCCTGTCATACATATCCGTCCACCTCATCCTGTACTTTCGCATGTCGTGCTACACATCGCTTCGTCGTTTGTTCATCCTCCAAGTACTATTTGCTGATCTCACCTGTCTCCACACGTATTACATGCATACATGCGCACCGCATTGCGCCGATTCCGAGGCTCCCAACTTCGATTACAATTACCACTGTAGACGTTAGGCATTCAAGCTCAAGGCTTCCATACAGACATCATCGCGCTTGTACTCTAAATGATCCTCGTTTTGTGCAACCTGTCTATCCTCACGTCTGCGGCACGGTCTCGTGGAGTGAGGCTGTATCGTATATTCACCGGCCCCTATGATGCCGGCCCAAGGGGCCTGAAGGTATGTGGTTGACGGTCGTACTAGGAAGGTGGAACTTCTCCTTGCGACCCCCAGCCTTGTTCTTCGGCTGGCAGGGAGCTAACGCACTGGGATTGAATTGTCGCTTTGGCTGTCAGAGTCCTGCGATCGAACAGCCCCGTACGCCATGTGTTCGTCTTCCATCGTTAGTTGGCACGAGGCGAAGGCTGACGGTCAAGCCGAAGCCACACACCTCTACGTGCTATTCCTGTGGCGCCGCGGACACCCCCGAGAGCATCCGGGACCTGTCAGGGTACACACATCGGGCATAACTCAGTATGGTGCTCTGACCGATGCCAAGCAGACCAGAGATATGCTCGTTCTTCGAAGGGGCTTGGTGGACGACAAGGAGAGACCTTCTCGTACGTGTCATGTCTTGCAGACAATATGCTCGAGCCCGAGATCTGAGATCTGAGAGATCGTGGCCTGTCCAACATAGAGAAGTGGTCTTTGGATTCAGCCCCTTCTATGTAATAGCTCTCCAATGGATCCGCCTGCTTGTCCTCTGGAAATCTGAGCAGGGGGTCTGCACAGCAACCTATACCCTGTGGCGAGAGCGAACCAATGTATGATACTACATACCATCTGTGTGAGGTCGACAGGCCCCACGCAAGCCTAGCGCTGAGCGGGGACTGCACGTGCGGCTGAACGGCAGAGATAGCCTACCTATGCACGGGCTTGAATCCTCGACCAAACCGTCACTGATACTGCACTCGAGGCCGCGAGAGAAGATAGCTACTTGGCCCAACCGTTCCGCCATGGCAAAGCAGAAGGGAGACAATGTTGATGAGATCGGAGATCGCGAAGCGGTACTAGGATGGGAGAGTGGGAGCGACGGCGCGCCCTGATGCCGCCGGACATTTCAATTCTGAGCCCGCTGTGGCTCGAATTGATTGATGACCATGGCCCTACCGATTGCAGCTCACCAGGTCTCTCAGGCCTCGACCACTGTGTTCCTTGACATACGGGCTGTGTATGGCATAGGCTTGCAGCTGCAATTACCCGTCGCCGTCATCTTCTACTAGGACGCTCGCACCCCACTCGCCCTCGTCCCCCAACAGCGCGGTCGGAGCTCTGTCGCACATAGCCAGGGTACTCGCCTCTAGTCCACATCTCACAGCCTGGTTTGTTCCGTCCTACGACTTGACCCGGACGGCGCCCTCGCTCAACGGACCTCTCAAGGACGAGGCTATATAGCCTCAGTTCCTGCGCTCCCTCTCCTCACTTATGATCCTCTGGTCCTGACACTCACACGACCGTACCTGATCCACTGTCGAGATGGTCAAGATTGGCTCCCGCTCCTCTCGTCGTCGCTCGACCCCCCAGAGCATTCCGCCCTCGATACCTCCGAAGCGTGCCCTCCTCATCGGTATCAACTACACTGGTGCCGACAAGGACTCGGATTACGGCCCTTTGCACCGAGCACAGGATGACGCGAAGGAGTTCAAGGACCTCCTCATCAGTATGTGATTGCTCCGCATATCCCCCCTCCACTGTCGTCTGAGTGGTGGTGTACAGGCAGATATGAGTACCAGCCGGGAAACATAGTCCTGATGCTGGATAGCGAGAGCGTCGCCCCCTCCCTCCGACCCACACGAGCAAACATCGTTAGTCCTTCCCAATGCATCACGCATTCATCGTACGTCGTATTGACAGGCTCGCCCATAGCTCCGGGAGATTGGTGAGCTGGTGAAGGATGCACAAGACGGGAGCCGGTTTGTCTTCTTCTGTACGTCTCTTTACTTGCGTCTTCACATCGCGTCGCTTCCCTCTCTCCTCTCTCTCCTCCTTTCTCGTCCGAAACATCATGCCCTTGCCTGCTTGCATCCATCGGCCTTCGCTCCCTCTGCGATTCGGATCCCCCTTCCTGGATTGCCAAGCGCATTACACTGCCACATTCCCCGTCCTTCATTCGTATCTCAGCGGCTGTCTCTGTACCGGCACGGCGACTCACGAACACATTGACAGATTCCGGACACTCCGGCCAGGTAGAAAGTCCTGACAGGCAAGAGGAAGACGATGGGTTCGACGAGTGTGAGCGCTTCCCCATAAGATATCTGGAAAACGCGATTGAGCGTTGACGATCGTCCGTCCGCCTGCAGTCATAGTTCCCGTCGATCATGACAAGATCCGGGTGAACCTAACCCAAGACGAGAACGGCAACGTGCCGCACCGTGAAGAGGTGAAGAAGCGCATGATCATCGACAACAAGCTTCGCAAGATGCTCGTGGACGCCCTCCCTATCGGCGCTCACCTGACCGCGATCTTCGACTCGTGCCATTCGGGCACGTTGCTCGACCTGGACCACTATCTGTGCAACAACGTCTACAACCCTCGGATGATGACCGGGTATCGGAGGTACAAGACGATGTGGCAGAACGTCCGCAGGAAGGACGGGCAACGTGAGTGCCATGCCGCAGGCAGAGCTCAGCTCGCGTGATAGGGTTGTGTCCGGATACTCATTCGTCGCGACGTCTTATGTAGGAATGAGCGAGGCTGGCGTCAAAGTTATCACCAAGAAGCAGCGGCATCCAGATAGCAGAGAGCGTATCAGCGCTCCCTCGTCCCCGCTGAGTAAAGGTGAGGGCTGGCCTATGCTCCTCTCCCCGCGCATTAGACAGTGGGCTGATGCCCCGTCCACAGAGGGCTCGTCTTCGTGCAGCGTCCGGATATACCAGCGCAAGCGGGTCAGCGAGAATGAGATGGAGGTGACGAACACCTCGGTTGGCGTCACCGATATCGACGGCGGCAAGAAGCGCCAGTTCTCCGTCGAGAGCAGGCGCGCGTCGGTCCAGGTTCGGCGTAGCCTGAGCATCGCGCAAATCATAGAGAATAGTGCGCTAGGGCTGTCCATCGATTCACTCGTCGACGACGATGCTGGGCTGCTGGATATGGAGCGCTGCGCGTCGCCCGACTCGTATAGGCTGTGCAATGGGTTTTGCGAGCCAGAGCCAGGGGGGAGTTCTGCCCGGAGTGCTACTGTGGTAAGTCCCACTCGGTCCAAGATTCCTCCACGCGCATTTAGTAATGTCTGCTTTAGATGTCCATATCTTCCTGCCAAGACGCTCAGCTCACGTGGGAGTCGAAGAAAGGGTCGTTCACTCAGGTATAGCGTGTTCATCTCTTAGTGCACGGGCCCTTCTGACATAAGTCATACTGTAGTGGTTAATCTCCATCCTCCGTGAGCTACAACGCATCATTCTCCATGCACGGGCACTAACCTCAGGATTTCCTCACTTCAGGTCGGGAACCTCACCAGCCCATCGGCAGTTTCCTACGGGAACTAACGTAAGTCCATTGGGGCCACTCCACTGTTCAGTAGTCTTACAGAGCCGTATAGCGATAAGATGCACGAACACGCGCAAAGGAAGAACGAATGGAGCCAGAAGCGTAAGGAGAGCTGGAGGCGCAAACACAATGGAGGCATGCCCTCGGAGGACTCCAACACCCTCGCCGGCTCTGACCATGGCGAGTCAGCAGGGGTAGGACCCGAGGCCCAGTATGCCGAGCAATACCTGGACGGCCTTGACTTCGGCAACGTTCCAGCGCCTCAATTGGGTGCTCAGGCTCGAGTCGTACGTTACTTCACTGTTGTTGTGCTTGCTACAGGGCTGATCCGGCCTTCATCAGGATCTCAATCAGCCTATGAACCTATAGCGACGTTGTATGCTCTGCCTTCTCGTCCGTTATTGCTCCTTAATCATTCGTATTCTCTGCGTCATCCGGGACACGGCCATCGTCTACTGTACAACTCACAATGTCTAACGCATACATCCTCTGCATTTATTTGCTAGCATACTTCCTACGCTGGATAGTCTTTGGACTGATCGTCATTCTACTATCCGAGACGCTCTACTTCTTTGTACCAACATCCGCATCCAACCGCACCCCACGCATCAGCATGTTTCATGTATATATACTATTTGTGTCAGATGGAAGGTCATTTCAGCTTAGGTAGCTCGTATTGCCGTACTACCCAAGCGGCCTGAGCGCTATATAGGCCGCGTCCCCATGGACGGGCAACCATGGCCGCACGGCCAGAAATGTTGCGCTTCGTTGGCAATCGGTCCTCAAGCTGCGTCTCCCACTTCTCACTTCTCAGACATGTCCTCTGGCTGACCCACGACTTAACCACGGAGCAGGGAGCCTTGCGGTTCGGGTCAGGGGTGGTTTACTCGTTCGGCGTCGCCAAGTACCCAAACTAGCGGACAATCTACGTCGTACGATCCAACCTCTGACGGTGCTGTGGCACCTCATCGACCGCAACAAGTGCTGGGGATAGATCAGTCCTTTGAACATATGGGCCGGTGGGATGCATGCATGTTGTGAGTTCTTTGTTGCGCGCGACGTTCCCCTCGCACTAACGGCAGCGATTGGGGGCTTCCACCATCGTCGTCAAAAGCTACTGCATCTCTGATTCCGCCGCATCCTCCTGCCCACCTGCAGACGTACTCTCGCGACCTGATCATGCGGCAGAAGGAGCTGTACGCGACGCGCTGGAGGCATGAAACGGATACCGGTCGCCGGTATGCAGGGCTTGTGCTATAGGGTGATCGTCAACTCGGGAGCACCGGAGGCGTCACGCCTCATAGCCCGTCCATGAGAGGGTCGATTCCAGTCCAGAGAGGGGCAGTGACCGGCGAGGTTCCATTTGCACAGGCTCTGCAGACTCTCGACGGAAGCAATCGGTACGAACCGTGCACAGTACGTGATTCCGACGTCCTGCAGGGGGCCGTGGCTGACCAGGGGCCGTTTGCATTTCCAGAGGGGGGTGCTGGATGCCATCTCGAGTTAGAACCACCACCACCACCAAGCCGATGATGCCGAATGAATTTTGCGCCTGCCGTCAAACTCGCCAGGTAAGCGTGTCGTGCACTTCCATGCCCTTGACGTAACATTGAAGCCGTCGAATGTAGTGGGTGGCTGCCTGTGGGAACGGGAACGGAAACTACGTCCAGGGGGCATATGTCTGTGGAGCTATGGTCCGGCCGTCTGAACAGTACGAATCAAATGGGTCACAGCGGTTACGAACATATACGGTCCGTTCCATGTTAGCCAACGTTCCCCGGCAGCGTGCAGTTTACTGAGGCCTCAGGCACTCGTCGGAGATGGGTAGTCAGTGAGATCTAGCTCGGTTCTGTCTACTGAGTTCTTTGTTCGTCTGCTTGGGATTCCTTGGGCTCAAGTCTTCCGAAATTGCACGTCCCTCGGTCCTCGGGACAGCGCTTAATTCCCTCGTATGGAACGAAATTGCTGTTGCCGAGGATAGCCGGACCCGGATATGGTATGTGGACATCTAAACACCCGATTGCTTGAGCCAAAGAACTACCCTTCCACACTGTGTCGATGACTATCAGGGCTCAGTGTCAAAATCGAACCATATAAAGTCGCTGAGAGAAGGAGATATATGTCGCCTTGTTGTACACCAGAAATGGGGCACGCCCATGGGCACGGTGAGTATAGATTCGGGCGGGAACC